CCCGTTTTTTTTATTTTTTCTCCGGTTTTTTTGTTGGCGGTAACCATAATGGTGGTCGAGTAGATCATGTTGTGCGGGGTGGAGAACCCTCACTCCGCGCAAGGGGGATGATCACACCACGTTGTGTTTAAATGGTCAAGCACCCTCGAGGCAGTTACACAGTGCTTACAGCTGTCTCTGGAAGTGAAAGCACCAGAAAATAAATTAAGTCATACGCAGCTGTCATCCGTACGCAAGGAAGTAAGCACAAGATGCCGAAAACCCTTAGCAGGATGCAGCGCACCCTTCATGCGACTCGCCGAATATCTCACGGCGCTTCGCGCTTGGTGATGTGAGAGCCTGGTCCGGTGAGAGCCCGGCGTGCTCCGTCCCGTCTTTGTAGGGATGCGAGGTCAATGGTCTAACGACTACGGCATGCACGACTATGAGTACACACACCCCCACTGAAGATAAGATTCGTGTTTACAGCTAGAAAAACGCGAGGTATCGACCCTCGTGGGGTACATTCTGATGCCAGGCAGATTGACCCCCCTGTCTTTCAATGATTGTTGATACCGCGGTCGTGGCTTGTCTGCGTACACCCGCTTCAGTCGCATGCGGTTGCCGCGGCAACCACCCGGCTTGCTGTTCCGATCCCCTTCGGCATGGTGTTGGTGCTTTCCGAAGCACCGCCCCCCCCGTCCCTCGAACCTCCCCTGGCACCCGGCAGGGAAGGACCGCTGTTGGACGCGTCGCCGCTGCCGCTGAACCTTCTCGACTTGCTAGCCTTTGCTCGCATCATCGCCTTGGCATCTGACGGCAACACGTCGAGACCCGGGAGTCTTTGGGTGCTGTAGCCTGGCATCTGCCCCCCATGCAACATGTCGTGGCAAGCCGTCGAGAGGGGGGCGACGACGACTGTTGTTTTAGACGTGTTGGCGTGCTAATTGTGTACGTGCGCTCCACGTACAGCTTGCGCTTGCCTTTCAAAGCGGCCCCATGATACGAAACGGTATTCGCGGCAAAGAAGGGCTCTCTTGGATGAAGTTGCCAATTAGAGACACTCCCTAGCTGGTGGATTTCGTGAAGTGATCCTCATCTAGTTAACATGGACCGATTGCCACACACAGGCCTCTAGCTATTTTGTTGCCCTCACAATCATTTGTCCAACCGCGGTATCCGAATATCATGACACGCATACCTTATCTCTAATTTCCGGCAGTCGGTGCTCCGGTACGCTTGTCGGGCGGCTAACACGCTTGTTCCCGGGCACAGCTCGAAACCCCCCTTTCTCGAATCCGTGCTGCTGCTGTCTCCCTTGCGACGGTGTGGACTCCACGGACGAATCGGCATCCTCAGGCCCGGCGGCCGCACCTGCGTTAACGGAGAGCTCGTCGAGACGTAGCCTGTCTTCGAGCTGCTTGCCTTGCGCCCGCCCGAGCATCGTTCCGGCCAGGTTCAGGCGCGAAAGGTTTACCAACGCGAAGAGGACCTCCGGGATCTACGACACGCGGCGGGGTGCGGGTTGGCCCTGCGTTACTGTTGGCCATTCATGGCAACGAACACATACACCACAAACTAATTGTTCGATACTCCGCACGTCTTTTCGAGCTATGTAGGTGAGGCACATATAGTTGGGAGGAGAGCATGGGGGCCCACAGCGGATTTCAGTGGTAGGGTGACGCGCATCGACGCCGCAAGTGCCTGGGCGTGAAGGCGAGAGAGTACTCCGCCAACTTGGCCTTGAGCTTGCCGCGTAAGGCGGAAGATGCGGGGGGTAGAAATTCAGAGGGGGAACAAGACACCTAATGACGACCGAATTGAGCAAATGAGCAGCTCCATACAACTGGGTACTCATTCCAAGTGGTGCCAAACCACGGACCTCGGGCCCAATGGGGTTTCCCTCGAGATCGAGGTCGAGCAGCGACCGCAGAAACTTGAGGTCTGGTGGGAGGGTTGCGATGGAGTTTCCCCTCAGATCGAGCACCTCTAAGCTTCGGAGATCGGGAACGCAGTCGGGCAGCCTCGAGAACTGGTTGCGGTCTAGCCGCAACTCCCGGAGGTTCCTGGCATAACGACAAGCGCGTTTGGAATGTGTTTGTCAACATTGTCCGTCAAGCAGGTGCACAGGATAGTACAAGGGATCAAGGCCAGGGAAGTATTTATTGTCGGGTGGAACAACCGCGGGATCTGGTGTCGATGGAAAGATCCGCGAAAAAAAATGCCGTGGCGTCGTGGTGAGCTGGAGAAGAATTGTCCACTTCGCAGTTATGGCGGTGCTTGTGCTCGTGAGGAAAGTGGTTCAGGGCTTGTACCATCCTTTCCTCCGAGCGAGTTTCACGTGAACGGATGGCTTTCGCCCATGTTGGCATGTAGTGTGTTGCCTCCAAGTGGTTAGCAGAACACAGAGTAGCATTTTCGAGTAGAATGACTATAAACAAAAATTGCGTGGTTCAAACCAACCCCTCTGTCACCAGAGAAATCGTCGAAGACGTTTCAAGTCAAGAACTGAATGTATGTAGTTCTTCTCTAGGGGCAAACCTGCACGTCGCCAGCTCTTTCGGCAGAGTGCTGAGCCAGTTGTTCTCCGCATACACGTGCTCCAGGTCAGGCAACAGCCCCAGCTCCCCGGGCAACCTTTCGAAACAGTGTGGGGAGGGCTGATAATTCGGTCTCAGCAGCAACGCCAAGCGGTACGGACACCGGATATATCGTACCTTGTTTGAAGGGAAGACTAGCTTCGAAAGATGTTCTAGCGCGATCTTGGACGTTTAGTGGGTGGAGGCAAGCGACACAACCCAACAAAAAGCTTACTTTCTCATGCAAAAGAGAACGACCTGACTGCCGACCGTTTGGGTGACTTGACCATAGAGGGCAGCACCAAGGATAACGTCCCGTATAATTGCTGATGCGGGTGATCGGGCAGGCTTCGCACCTACTAATGCGGTTGCGGCCGACCCCCAGGGTTCGGAGATACCTCAACTCTCGGATCTGAGGCGGGAGCACCTGGATGTCGTTGTTGGTCAACCAAAGCTCTTTTAACCCAGTTAGGTGCCACACCTTCGTTGGCAAGAGGAATGAGAGGCGAGGGTTGCAATCAAGAAAAGTGAACCTGGTATTGCGGCCAATATACCCGACCATTTCAAGAAGACGGAGTATCGTCGATTTCAATCTCAAAATCAATCGCTGTCGAGACTAATCGGCCACGTGAGGGCTGTTGGTGGGTTCAATACTAAGTACGTTCGCAATCAAGGCAACCTCGCGTCGCAACGAACGGGGTTGACCTTGTCAAGGGAGACAAAGGGCGCAACATGATATGTAGCGGTCCGTGGTTGTTGTTGTTCGTTCGTTGTTGCTGTTGGTTCGATGTATTCATTTAGGCCAGGAGGAGCCATCTCGGGGGCATTGGCGGGAGAGTCTCTTTCGGTTAAAATGCAGAGGACGTACTGGAAGAACCCGAAGACGGCATGGAGGTACATCAGGCTCATGGGGGTGGTAGTGCAAGGAGAGGGAGGCGAAGGCATGGGAGGAGGTATTACGGAGGAACAGTACAGGGAGTTGAACGAGTTTCCATCGAGCAAACAGAGTCGCTCACTAGCTGCTTTCGGGAACAAGCCTTTACTGAAGGACAGACGGACGAATGCAGTATGGGATTGAACACTTTCCAATCGTTAATGGAAGCATGTTGGGTTTGTTTTGGAAAGGGCGACTTAACCACCCGCGGGAGGTGAAGCCACTGTCTTATCCCACACTACAGGGGAAGAACAAACGGTCACGGAAATACTGTTGTGTTATGGAGACCGGTCCATGAAATGTTCCAAACAACTTCCAGGAACGTTCGCACACGAAACTACACGTATCACAAGGACGATCCTCGTCCCCACTTCTACGGCAGCCAAGTGCCGACACGGCAAACAGGAGGAAAGAGAGTGTGCTGGTGTCCTTATTCACCAGCCATTCGGCCCTCTATCCAGCACCTCCTCTGTATTCTTCAAGGTAAGACACGCATTTCCGTTGCCAATGGATGGAAATCCCTGGCTGATGTACAGTAGAGGTTCCTGTTGAGTGCCGGGGTGTGCGCAAAACTATTACCGGCACTATACCGCGCACCGGCACTATTCTTCAGAGTGCCTAAATAGTGCCAAAGGGGCACTATTCAGGGTTTGAAAATCCCTCGACAGTGCCAAACCGGCACTACTGGCGAACTGTGTGATTTCAGAGTGCAGCGCTTTGCTTTGCGGGGCCAACAGAGTGCCACATGAAACGCACATGGTGAGATCATGGCATGGGCGTCGCGGGCAGACTGCTGTGCCACGATACGGGTGGTTCCTGCCCTGTCGAACACACATATTTTGCTTAATAAGTTAACTGGACGGGACACACATGCTGCACCTTGTTGCTGTACCCACCTCAGCGCACGTACTGCACACTTGCACAACCTGACTTCAACCCTTCACATGAATATCGCAAAGGATGCCCCGCGTAGGTGTCCAGTATTTAGTTGGCAAGAATGCCGTGGCACTGGCCTCAAACGGATCAAACCATTTCGCCCAACCTCAACATCACTCCTCGAGAGCGAAAGCAAACCACAGATCATGAAGCCCATGGATTTTTGGCGGTAATACTTTTGCGAAGCTCCTGCTGGCACAACCTATTGGTGAAGGAGGAAGCTAAATCTGTCTCCTCCTCACCCTCCTTCGATGTAGCCAAAACAAGAAGAAAAAAAACACGACCGCAAGAACTGGACATGCAAGAAACCAAACAGCCACTGTAGCTGTAACCCGTGCCCTCACTACGTCGCGATAAATTCCCGCGGAAGGTGACCTGTGCCGCATACCGGACAGAACGCCACAAGCCCCTAATGCCCACATCTGCCGGGGACGATGCTGCCGGCGGCTCCATGGCGAATGTGGAAGCACGTTTGACGACAGCGAGCTGAACCGCATCTGCAGTGCGTGCGTAGCCAACACTGACAAGCGCAAAGCGAGAGCAGCAGAGGGTGCTGGGAAGGCACTTCGCATCCACCAGCTTGAGGATCTCGACCTTCTGGTGTACGTCCAGCCGCTTACGACCTTCGCTCTTACTCCCCCCTTGTGCTTTAGGGCGTTTAGATTGCCCCTTCCCAGCACCCTCTGCTGCTCTCGCTTTGCGCTTGTCAGTGCTGGCTACGCACGCACTGCAGATGCGGTTCAGCTCGCTGTCGTCAAACATGCTTCCACATTCGCCATGGAGCCGCCCGCCGCATCGTCCCCGGCAGATGTGGCCATTAGGGGGTTGTGCGTTCTGTCCGGTATGCGGCACATCTTACCTTCCGCACATGGCATGGTGCGCCTCTGCGTAGTGCTGTTCGGGTCTGCAGCAGCACGTGTACCCTCTCCTATGTGTCTGTCTTCTGTCTTGTGTGTCTCTTGTTTGTTGTGTGTGCGTGCGTGCTTGAACCGGCACTTCAGTGGGGTTCAGTGGGCCCGAACCTACACAGCCCTGAAGTGCCGGTNGGCGTAGTGCTGTTCGGCTCTGCAGCAGCACGTGTACCCTTCTCCTCTGTGTCTGTCTTCTGTGTCATGTGTGTATCTTGTGTGTTGTGTGTGCGTGCGTGCTTGAACCGGCACTATTGTGGGGTTCAGTGGGGCCCGAACCGGCACTATAGTGGGCAGCCCTGAATAGGTCCGGTGTGGCACTATTCAGGGCGGATTCTGTGCGCCGAGAATTGACCGGCACTATACCGGTAACCGGCACTAAACAGGGACCTCTGCTGTACATGAATGACCTGCCTTGAAACGACCACTCGCGAAAAGTATCACATTGTGGAAGCAATTGATCCAGAGATTCGAACGACGGATATGAATGAAACGCGATAAAGGGAGCATAAACCGACACCGGAAGCCAAGTGATTCAAAGGACATTGCATATAAGAAAATTACAACGCTGCAACCTAGATCAAGGACGAAGAGGCTCTCCATAAACTCCCATGAAGCCAGCAGCTTTTCAACCGACCAGGCCAACCTCCGCTGAGTCCTCGGGATGTGAAAGGAGCGCTTCAAGAGAAGCATTGAACATAGGGAACAGCTGCACGTCCTCAATTGTTGTTGAACGTTCCCAGAAAACCTCGGTCTGGAAAGAAATGTCGAACGCCCGAAAAATATCTGCATGTCTCACAGTTCGAGGCACCCTGCTGAGTAGGAAACCCCCCTGCCTCCGGTTGGCCCACGTGGAGAGGTCCAGCCTCTTGGTAGCCCGCGCCCTGGAAACCTGCAAACGGATTCTTTCCACTGTGTCCATCGCTCGACCGCCTGCCCTAGGCCCGGCACCTCCTTTGCGCCCTGTGATGGCCGCCCTACAGGCGAAGGACCACGTACAGAGTGGAACCGCTTTGAAGTCCGCGCTCTACAACGATTGGTGTTCCAAAACAAGCGTGCTTTTCGATAAAATTGAATCGACCGGCCAAGAAGCAGCTTGAGCCCCCCGGGCAATCGAGTTGATAGAGGTAGCGGAAATTCCACACGAGTCACCAGCTGACTTTGCCCAGCGCTTGTCGAGGCTAGCTCAATCATATCCGCGTGATTTGTCACCGGGGAACATCAAAAGTCATTCCCTCACACGATGTTAAACGACACGTGCGTGTTTCGCCATTTGTCTGCTTCATACCAGCAGAAGTCTGGCCCCCATTTCTATCTCCAAGTGCACTAGAATAACCGGGTTTTGAGTACGAAATCTCAATCTATACCTCTTCAAGCCGCTGTCTGCGGTGAGGGCTCTCTTTGGGGGGTTGTCACGCATCGCTTTCAGAGTCCGCCTGACCTCCTCTTGCTGCGCGAGGCGCTCCTGTATAGTATTTGTGGTGCAAGTGGTACGTCGCCGAACGAGGGAGGCTGGTTGAGGACGAATTGACGTGTCTCCTTCCACAAGAGCAGGGTCACAATGAGGGGTAATTATCACCGGCGGAGTGTGAAATCAAGGCTGTGGAGAAAAGCTTCACAACAAAGGATTTGCCGCAAAGTTTCTACTTTGCCACTGCTGTAGTTGAAGTATTTCTCTGAGGGGAAAGTGAACACAGGGCCAACTTCACAACAAAGGGGTGAAGAAACACCATAATGTACTCTCCTTGCAGTCGGGAGCATATTTGTTTGGCATTCACGCTTTTGTGTGAGCACATTGATCAGGATGGCTCCCCCCATGGTGTCCCTGCGCGAAAACTCCTCGAACTTTGGAGCTAAAACTGGAGCATGACGCATGATTGCTGTAGGGAAAATGTCTTCCAGGAAAGGGTTCCACCCATTGCTTGGTGTGTCTGGGAGATTTCTCATGGTCCCAAAAATATTCCTACTCGGTAATCATAGAGCTAAAATACTCAAATTCACTAAAGGAGAAAACATTCCGCGGTGGTCGGGAAAAATCGTTGAGCGATCCACTTGCGATGTTGGTCACTATCAATCGTACCTTGAGAGCAGCCCGGTACTCGCTAAGCCTTGCTGCCGAATCGCTCTGCGCCGCCAGCCTTTTGGCGACGGCGGAAATCTTGAAGAAAGTGGTGAGAAACTCCGGTACTTCGATCTGCAACGGCGGCGCAAACGCTGCACGGGTAGAACAGTCCAGGTGAGACAGTTGCAACAACAAAAAGGGTGAATTGTGATCAAAGGTATGCCCGAGAGGTTTCTCGCTGGATGTCTGGGCAGGTCCAGCCAACGGCTATTTGCGGCCGGAATTCGGCTTCAAAACGTACAAAAGACCCTTCCGCGCCTCACCACGAGCGGTTTCGGCTAGACGAAACAGCTAGACAATGCGGCTCTACATTTCGCCTTAGGCACACCGTACGTTTGTGGCATATCACCGTGGCATATATTGTCCGCATCTTTGACCACGACGGTCATTAGAGTGCACCTCGAGAGTAAAGAATGAATAGCTGACGATCAGCACTTCAATCGCCACCAGATTCACTTTGAGTGGGTTCACACGCTCTGAACGCCAGCGTTTCTGTTTCTTAAGGCTGCGTGGGGAGGACTGTCGTCCGTGACAAGTGAAAGCTCGGCTTCCTTGCACTTTGTAACATTTGGGTGACACACAGAACGAATCGAAGAACTGCAGCTACCGGGGGTGGTCTAAATGGGCCATACTGTCCAGTCCAGCCTGAAGCAAAGGACGTACCTCCGTCGCACACGTCTGCGTCGGCCGTGTCCCCTCCCGCCCCAAAGAGATGCGCCACGGCACCTAGCTGGGACGGAGACAGGCGGATGTCAAACGTTTGCTGGAGGGCGGCCTTCAGCTCCGTCGGGGTCATACACTTCACCTGGGGAATCCACGGGACGTAGACAGGGACGAAGGATATGAGGCGCTACTACGTAGCCGCACTAGCATTACTTTCGTTGATTTTCTCCAGCAGAGTGTTCAAAAGCAAAACCTTCGATTCACTTCGATTCACTTCGTTTTCACTTCGTTTTCACTTCGGTTTCACCTGGTTTTCACTTCGTACTCACTTCGTACTCACTTCGCACTCACTTCGAATATCCACTTCGATACTTCACTTTGGTTTTTCACTGCACTTCGTACAACCATGCGGCTTGGGCCATATACCCGAAAAGTTGTACTTTCTTTGTATTACAAACGATCACTGTGGTCCGGGCAGGAATCTTTGTGCGATGGCGTTTCGATGCTTTCCTTTCCCGAGAAAATATAGCCCCTATTTTCTGAAGCAATGAGTCCGTATTGTACACCGTATTGGCCTACGCAGCAAGTTAGAGGCCGTGTCTGATGGTCGGGCGTCGGCTCTGTTTGGAATCTCATGAAACTTCATCTAAGGGGTTTGGGGACGTTCAGGGAGCAAAGGGCGTGTCATCTGTGCTTGTACCCGTTATGACGGTCAATCACCTCCCAAGCCTTGAGCCCACCCGGACCTAGTTGGCGCCTGTCGTATCGAGCCGCCGCCTCAATGAGAGAGTCTAGCGTGTCATCCAGGTCCTGCAGGTTGCCATGCGGAAAAGATTATCATCAGCCCGTGGTTTATCGTGCCCGCTTATAATTCACTTAGCCTGCAGCAACAATGCACCGTGGACGTTGAACTGCAGCAGCTGCAGCTACTCAAAAAGCTGTACACACATTGAACAACAGACTACTTGCGTGTAACGCGAGGGTCACATGACGAAGGAACACGCACACCGAAACCGCTAGACTCGGCTTTTCGGCATGCAGATAGTTGAAATGCAGTGCGACCGTAAGATCAGCACCGGATGAGCCGGGTTGGGTATCGCAAATCACAACACATTACTTGCAGGAGTGCGCGGATCAGGTTCTGTGGATACCAACGTGGATTAACCACACCCTCGTGACACTGACCGAAAACGAGCGTGTAGATTTAGGCAAGATTGGGTTGATATTTCCTGCCCGTGAATAGATCGTAGCATGGCGTGGAGCGGGCTCAGTTTGCGTAACCGGCAACAGCACATAGGGAGCGCAGCGCTTGCTACCGTCCCAACCGAGGAGGCGCGCTTGCTTAACCTCGCTGCGCATCATGCAGAATTGTTTGGGACCAATGAACACAGGGTTCTAGGAAACCCTGGAGAAACATCGGTGGAACTTACCTTTGTCTAGCCACCTCACAAAATATCATGAAGAATGTATCGATGATTTCCACACTATTTGTCACTCTGAATCTGCGAACCGCTCGCTTGCCTTTTCGGTATACGGGGCGAGGGCGTCCTGAAGTCTTCTCCTTTCCGCCTTGAGGTAGCGCCTGTTCTCCTCCTGTTCCGTCCGCTTCGCCCTGGCCGCCTCTTCTTCCCTCCGTCTTTGGTCCCGCCACAAGAGTTTGGACGAGCATCACAGCGGTCGGCACGGCATATTTCCCCAAACGAAAAATCAGTGGACCAAAAGAATACAAGCATGCGGCGAGAGCAATGCACGGGAGACCGAAGAGGATGTCAGCGTATAGAACCAGCAGATGTTTAAATTCATTCTTTGGATTGTAGATGTAGCACTTCTTCTCGTCTCAGTGCATGTGCTTCACCTTGGCATCATGTCCACCCCTGTCTTGCTAACCACGCACGTTCTCTATCACGAGGTGATCGCTGATGGAAGCCTCATCAAGGTCTGTGCCCGTACAGCTTTGTATTCTCGGTCAAGCTCCAACCCGGCAAAAATACTATTGCTCTGCCCACCAGAGAACCTCCCTACTCCAAGAGGCACCCGCGCAGTCACTCCCGCATAGAGTGGGCCTCTTCGACAACATAAACTTCGTCATTCGCCCGTTCAATCCACAAGAGCCACATTGGCCATCTGTCCTTATCCCTCCCTTTTGTCGTGTCGACTGCTGGTACTGGATGGGCAGTTTAAGGCTTCAACACGAAGAGCTTCTCCGGCCCAAGCTCCCTCGGCGAACCGCAGACTGCCTTACGGAGAACACAATGCAGTCAACCACGCAACTTCGACCCGGCAACAAGGGCATGGGTCAACTGACTCTCGTTCCTGCGGGTTACTGCACCTCTGGAGCGCTCGGTTCCGGCTCTCGAAGCCAACCCGGAAAAACGTCAGGAGGAACTCGGCACAATTAACCATCCCGTCGCCGTCCTTGTCGAACTCCTGCATCATCGCTCCAAGCTCACCAGGGCTGAGCTTGAGGCCGAACACCTTGTGCAAGGGTTTGGCATAGACCAAAGTGCGATTATCGAGTTTACACACGAAAAATGTGCATGATTGAGTTCAAACTAAATAATGCTCTGTCTTGGTGGGCATATTCATTGATCGAGCACCCTGAAACCAACGGGAAGCTGCAGGTCGTTGGGGAAAAGATAGCCTATTCTACGCATGCGTCTCAGTCAAGTGCATTCTGCCTCGTGGGGTTCATCGTTGACCAAACGCGTGAAGACGACGAAAGCTGCAGGTTTGTGGAGAAACGGTTAGCCTTGTGTATGCCTGTACCTCCCCCTATATTGGAGGCTGTGTCACTGTTGGATCCCATGAACAAAACCTCGAGGACGCCAGCAGGAATACCAAAGGCAACGTGCTCCGAATTGATCGATGTAGTTGCCTTTCTGAAACGGTTGATTCACGTATTCCACAACCTTAGTAGTTGCTGAAGCCTGAAGGCATCCAAAGAGTCCACCGACCGACGAAGAGAATGGAAGCAACCTGTTTATTTGGAGTCTCTTACACACACACCCGCCTACGAAACCTTCTTGGCTCACGTGAACCTAAAAAGGCAAGATTCATAGTTGGCGGTTGATAAATTCGCCTATGATTCATCGATACTACCTATTCTGGTCATTGGGGTACAGCGTGTGCCCTGGTAAAATGCCAATGCCCCGGTCTATTGAAAAACGTTTTCAAAATTTGTTAGGATACCTGAAGTAGGTCACGCATGTGTTTCGAAGTCTTCAATGCAATTTGAGGAATTTATTTGATTCGAATTTGAAGCTGATCATATCATATCCTTCAAAACGAACGATAGATATTGTTTTACACATTCGTGAATGCCGTGATACAACAGCATATCTTTCACGGCGAATGGGGACATTCCCACACTGTTTGTGAACATAAAATGCAGCTCTGTGAGAAAAACATCTCTCTTACCCTCTTCAGCTGCTCCTTGAAGATGTGTGGTGGCATCAAGGCTCCCTCGAAGCCATCGAGCCCCAGACAGCTCGGGTGATTCTTGTCGTACCTGCCGCGCGAGTACGCGCGTTTCGGGACAAGAATACTGGTTGTTCAGAAAAAATGTGTCCTTCGGAAGAGGACGGCGGATTCCCCACCCGCGGATTTGCGTGTGAAAGGACTAATTCATTGGGGTTCTTGGCCAACACCCGACGAGTTTTTTTTCGCTCAAGCCAACCAACTTAGCATACTACACTAGTGTTAGAAAGGAGTCTTTGCGGTTCGGGATGCTTCAGCCACCTTGATGCTGCGTCAGCAATCTTGGCCATCGCAGACTCCTTGTCGTGCTCATCGAAGCTTTCGCTGACCTTAAGAGCTGCCTTGCGCTCAATCTCCCGCTCCTTTCAATTCACGAACGTACGCAGCCCATAATTGTTACATTTCATAATGCAATACGCAGACGGAAATGTTACAGCGGCGATCGTGATCGTAGCAGTCGGAACAGCAGCAGCAGCAGAGCGGGTGTGGAACTTAAACTTCGCATTCCCACAACGTCAGCCCTTCGAAATATTCCAGAAGTGATGCGGACGCTGCCATTTCGTTCTAACGAGAAGAAAGTGAAGGACAATTATTGTGTCTGATATGAGGTTCTAGACATCTCCTCAGCAGCTCTTCCCGTCGCAGTACCTGTTTGGAGCAACGTTAGAGTAAGGGTAGTGCGATTCACATCTGTTGTATTTTCACGATAAAACTACCGTCTTTGGGGACGGCTGCCGGTGTGGGCTGCCTCACTTTCTCGGCCGCCTCCTCCGCTACCCTCCTCGCCATCTTGCGGTCCCTGGTTCTCCTCCTGGTGCTGGTTTCAGACTTCACCTCGAACCCTGCCTCAACGGGCCGCCCAGAGTGAAACATCAAGGAGTAGTTGTAGACTCAACATGTGATGTCAACGCGAATACGATGTGTTGTTGGGGCGGCAAGGGTGCTTTGCAAACCAAGGTCAAATATTGCGTGTGGAAATGCGTGTTCGAGAAGCTCTACCCGCTCCAGACGGTAACTATATTGCTGCCCATTCCCCCTTCCCCCTGACCCCTCCACATTCCAAAAACATGTGAACTTTCTCACCAAGCCTGAAAAAAGTGCGGAGGAACTCCGGGCAGCTGATCGACCCGTCGCCATCTTTGTCGAAGGCGTGGATGGCAGCGCCCAGCTCAGGTGGTGTCAACCGTATCCCGAACGCCTGTTTGGGGAGTGGGAGAAAGCGGGGCTTGCGTGATTGCTTCTTGACAACCTCGACCGCTTCTTTCTGACGTGCGGGCCATTCAACCCTAGGGTGCATGCACCCCATGTCAACATAAGTTAGGGTCAGAATTGCTTCTTGACAACCTCGACCGCTCCTCTTTGACATGTGGGTCATTTAACCGTAGAGTGCAACCCATGTCAGCATAAGCTACGGTCAAAATCCTGAACGCGGGGGGGTGTATGGGGTCGTTACATGCACCGAAGAAAAATACTTAATATTACACTCAACTTCACGCGAAATAATGGGCTCACCCTCTTGAGTTGCTCACGAAACACATGAGGCTCCATTTGCGCCCCATCAAAGGCATCCAGAGACACGGCGCTGGGGTGGTTCTTGTCGTACCTGGAAGAAAACGTTCGAGCGCCGCACAGAAACAAAGGATCGAGAGGAGACTCGCGAAAACCGCCAACTTCTACTGTACGGCGGAATTTGCGGACAACTTCGTGGTGTCCTACCTGAAACGACCATGCCGGAACGAACAAGGTAGCGCCCTCGTACTTCTCGCGCTAACCAACGAGCGTAGTATCATGAAAGAAGTCTGCCCGCCGTGTCTAGTCCGGAGTTATGTCAAGGGCGGCGACATGCGACAAGTATCGTAGGTGAAAGCTCACGAAATCCCAATTCGCTGTTCCTGGAGAAACGCACTCGCCCGGCGTTTCCGTAGTGCGAACGGCGGTGCCAAGGCCACACAGCATTTTTTCAGAAAGTTTGAAACTCACAGGTCGCCTCTAAATTGTCGGCAAGCCATCATTCTAGGCCTTCTTTCATGGGACACCTTCAACGCTGGAGTATACGTGTTCAACAGGGTCCTTTCTGATGCCACATGGTGAAACTTCCCCCAAGACGGGCATCGGAACATCCGCCTTTGTCGATCCCACGATGAATTGTTTAGGGGACGGGTCTTCGGGAGTGCATACCTGGCTGCGGCCTTGGTTATCTTGGCCATCGCGGACTGGTAGTGCCGCTCAGAATATGATCTGTTTATTTTCAGAGCGTTCTTTCTCTCTTCCTGCCGTCGCTTCCGCGCTTCTTCCTCCACCAGAAGGGCCTCCCGTTTCTTGGCCAAGCAGGGACAGGTCACAGATATGGAAATCGTACAGACTGATGATTTGCTCGGCAGATTCCAGAACGACGTTGTCGAATAACATAAAACGTCCCTGCAAAGGAAGCACTCGGTTGAAACTACGTTTCATCCCCTCCACCCGCAAGGTATCTCCGCAAGAGCAGCCGCGCTCTCTTACCGCTTCAGCTTCTCGTTTCTTCTTTGTCCTCCTGTTCCTCTCGTCAAATCCCATCTTGAAGAACATCTTCGTAAACTCCACGACGTCCACAGTTCCATCGTCGTCCTTGTCAAACCGATGCATCACGCCCCCGAGCTCCTGCAACAAGCAACATGCAGGAAGCGAAGGCATCACTTGTCTGGGGTTGCTATTCAACCACGGGGCTGAAGTTATCTTGACGAAAGCAAAGGGAACGCCGTGGCATTTGATGTATCGCCCCTTTGTCTTCGTTCGTACTTGGGGCCGCGCACACTACACCTCCTGCAGCAACCCACAAAACCAGCCATAAACGTATCAAATCCTGCAACCGCAGTGTTTTCCTCTGAGAAACTGCTCTTGAGATGGGGTGGCGTTTTCCAAGACCCCTTGCAAGGCCGTGCATCCCCTCACTGAGCATTCCAAACGAAGCAATAACACGTCAGGCAGAACGTGTTGTGGCAACGACGAACGAGGTTGAATCGATCATCAGATATCATGCCGTCAAACTTCTCGCGGCAACATGTACCGCATGCCCGGCTTAGACGAGTAAAGATACCTGGGGGTCGATTCACACTGACCGCATCCTTGTCGAGCCGGGTTTCACCCAAAAAAGCCCACCACCGAGTTCTAGTCCTGACGGCAAACCAATCAAACAGTACTCACCGCAGGCGTGAGCTTGATGTTGAAGACCTTCCTCAGCTGTTCCCGAAACACATGAGGCGGCATCTTGTGCCCCTGAAAGAGCACAACGAGTAGCAGGAGACCGCGGCAGTAGCGGTGGCGAAAGCAACATAGGATCAAAGGACAGAACAGATACTTCGCTTGGTGTCACATGAATGGTTATGGCGAGGGAAACAACTCGACCCTACGCATTCGTGTTGTTGCGGTACGTTCCACGAGGCGGATGACGAGGTGCTGATACTGGAGTTTCCCTACCTCCAACACACGCGTCCTCATTCTCTCTGGACTTACATCATTGCTGCCTGTATTCCCTCTCGTATATTGCGTGATTGCTAGCACAGGTGCTGTAGCGGTTTAATGTGTGTTGCAGGGACGCACCTGAAACGCTCCTAGGCCAAGGGAAGCAGGACCTGTGGCATCGTAGGCTACGGCGGCCTCCACCAGCTTGGCCAGACCACTCGCTTGTTCCTCGCTAGCATATTCGTAGTCCACCTAAGCGTTTTTTTGTACCGAGTGTCGGGTCGTGGAGGTTGATCGCCATTCCGGTAGACGGCATGATCGAACAACCGGGAAAAAAGCTTGTGTTTTGGAGTTTGTCTGTTCTTGAGGAGCTCTTCTCAAGCATCGTGCAGGAGATGTTCGGGGGGTTAGCCTTGTCGGCAACTACGAACACTCTCGTCTTGGGACCTATCTTATTTATTAAGTAGAGATGTTTAACTTGTAGCTGTTATACAAGTACGATCTTGCGAATTCTAGTCCACCTTCATGTTCGAGCAATGGGGTTGTTCTGAGTTTTCCTCTGCCCTGAACTTTTTTCACCTCTTCGGGCTTGGCTCTCTACGACATTTCACTGTTTTGTGAATGGCGGGACGTTTCTGGGCCATTTAATTTGTTGATTTTTTACAACATGTTGGGCTAGCTTCTGACGGCGAAAAATACGGCCATAACGATTGAAGTCTAGCCAAGAGCAATGTCAAGAACAGCGAACAACGGAATAGGGGCTGGGAAGCGGTTTACGTGTAATGATATTGTACAAGTGCATGTGCTCACCGCTGTACTCCAACTCTCACTCGAAGGCTAAAAAACCTCCACCACTCTCTTATACTGATTATTGTCGATACCATGCAAGGAGCCGACCTGTTACAGAACGCCCACACCTTTTGCCTAGCTCGCTCCTCTGCCTCCGTTCGCCTAGCCTCCGTTTCCGCCGCTTCCTTCTCCTTCCGCTTCCGCTCACCCTCTCGCCGAATATGGAGGCGCCTGGACCGCTCCTGTCCAACCAGGCAAACGACGTAGCCCGCACGTAACAAACGAACATGAGAGCTAAAGCTTTGTCCCACAAGGGCGTGACCCAATCTCACGGACCCTCAATCACGCGGGCAACAATGACAGGTTGTTATGGACGCATGAAAGTACGGCAATGCAATGCACTGCTGCTTTCCTGCTGGGAGGTTCCCTACAGCCCACGACCAAAGACACAAATAGCCGGATTCCGCCTCGCTAACCTGAAATCCTGTCATGAAGAACTTGAGCAGGAACTCTGCGCAGTTGACCGAGCCGTCATGATCCTTGTCAAAACTCGCCATGACCGCCGCGAGCTGCGGGGGAGATAGCTTGATGTTGAAAACCCTGCACAAATATTGCAGCAGTGTCAGCTGAAGCATCGTAACGGGATCATTGCATGGGGTTGATGCCCAATTAAACGAAAACGCATCCCAACGAATCATGGCAGCTGCGGCGCATTTTTCTCCTTGCCCCTTAACTATCTTCCTAGTTCGCTGAAAGCAAGATCGATATCGAAGCAGATGTGGAAGCAATCATGATATCAAGGCGAGCATTCCTTTGCGCTCAAAGAAAGGCCTGCCAAGAAAGAAGCTTCAGAACGAATAAAACGAGTGCTGATGGACCGGTACAAGCCTCTGATGTCTAGAGCGAGGGGAGGTGTGTGATAACCGACCCAACCCGGCAGCTCTCCATGCCACCGGTGTCCTACTCCCATCTTCCGCGACCGTGCGTATAACGTACTCTCCCCCGAAGCCACCTTGTTGCTCGACCCACTCGAATAGCAACGGGAGGAAAAACCCTACCACCATTTTGTGTGCCCAGGGTCTGGGGTTTGAAATCAACCGCTCAAAAGCCGAGCACGCTATGGTTTGCTTGGAAGGATTGTTTCATGGGGTCGAACCTGCGAAGTTGCTCCCTGAAAACTAGGGGAGTCATGGTGGCGCCTTCGAAGGCGTCGAGGCTAAACGACGCCGGGGACGTCTTGTCATAAGCCACCGCTGCCTCAGTAATCAGTGCCATGGCGCTAGCCTCGTCCTCGGGCCCTGCGCATCGTAGAATTTCATGGCGTTGCTTATCCTTACAGCTCTTAATATCTCGGTTGTGTCTCTCTTCATGACCCCCTTTGAACTTCCACGCTGGTTGTGCTCCCCTTTCTATCCGTTGTCGCGTTTCCTGTCTCCTGGTTTCGTCCTTTCGCGTATTCTAGCAGACGGCTTTTCAGATTGTCAATGAGCGACTTCGTTTTCCCGGCACGTTCGATAGCGTTAAGTACCAAACCTCGGGCGTGCGAGAATTACCATGACGTCACCTCCCCAGACCACCTTGTTTATGGGTGAAGATATATAGCGAACACCTTCGGCACCTCATGCCCTCAAAACTCTGCGAGATTCACGGGCCGGCGAAACTCCTCCTTCCAGATGCCACTCCCGAGACAACTTGTTCCTTCTTCGGCATGATATCTACGAATGTTTCCGCCCAAAGCTTGAGCCTTGTTACCAAGAAGTGCCTCCATGTTGAGTCGTGTGGTGAAGCAGTTGCGCCTGACAAAGAAGCGTTGCCAATGCCTATCCTGGGACAATTCAATGTTGGTTATATTTTCTTGTGAACAGAATGTTCGTGAGTCCAGACTTCCCTCAATATTGACCCTAAAGCTGCTGGTGCTTTGGACAGCTGTGAAGGGTGGAATGGTCGCACTGAATCCCGCAACGTCTTCAAAAGCAAATGCCAAAGTTCTCACCCCATTTCACATCGGGTTGAAGGTGGTTCAATGCCTCTGCAGGGTCGGGTGCGTTTAAAAGCTCCGCCTCCTCGAGCGCCTTTTGCTCCATGTGCTTGCGTTCAAACTCCAGGCGCTCTACCCTTCGACGGTCCCGTTCAGCCTGTCCCATCTACAATTGATTGTGGCAAGATCAACGGCAGCGCGAGAAGTATGCGCAAAATCGTCATGGACCAGCAGCTGGTGGTTGAACATCGGGACAGCGCGTAGCAGCTTAAATCGTCACCTACAGGATGTGACTGGGCTCAGCCACGTTGGCAAAGGAAATGTTGTGGATTTTCCGTTGACCAATATTGGACGGCAAGACCTCAAGGCAACCAGACTTGTTCCTTCTGTAAACCTGACAAGACTACAGACCAGCTACTACCGTGTAGTGTTGGATCCTGTGCCGACGGGAGAGAAGCTGATGAATGTACGAACTGCATTCTGGCGCATCCACCTGCAGGAATGAACTGCTGAACTCGTCTTGCATAAACATACCACAGGTTTACGCCGCCGCAGAGGACCCCTTCTGAGTGGCTTCGAATCGGAACTCTTTCGTTGAAGAATAGTTTGACCACCAGCTGCGGTAAGCTGAGGTTTGCATGTGACAAATCATTCAACTGCGGGTTGAAACGTGATCAAGCGCGCCCGCCCGGTCTTCGACCGCCTTGACACATCTGGGTACTCCCGGCCCTGAACCTTCCTTCCAATGGCTCATGACCGTTTGTAGAGTGGCCCTGTCTCAGCACGCTTGCCATGACATATGGTGAACAGCGCCACACCGGGTCGGATTGCAGTCAAAACGAGATCTAGAACTGCGCAGGTAGATTGTTTGCAACTCACCTCATTTGCCATCAAAATGCCCGATTGTTGAGAACCGTGGCCACATCAGGATGCCTCGGACCTAGCACCTTCTCTTGAATGGCCTGTGACCGCTCGTACAGTGGCTCAGCCTCAGTGTACTTGCCCTGTTTTCAGTTGGGAGAGAAGGTGCTATGTAGGTCCGGAGCATCCTGATGTGGCCACGGTCTTCAACAACCGAGCGTTGTCGTGGCTAATCAGGTGGGCTGCAGACANGAGCATCCTGATGTGGCCACGGTCCTCAACATTCGGGCGTTGTTGACGGCTAATCAGGTGGGCTGCAGACAACATGAGCACTGTGGCCCCATCAGGATGCTCCGGACCAACATAGCACCTTCTCTTGTATGGCCTGTGACCGCTCGTACAGTGGCTCAGCCTCAGTGTACTTGCCCTGTTTTCAGTTGGGAGAGAAGGTGCTATGTAGGTCCGGAGCATCCTGATGTGGCCACGGTCTTCAACAACCGAGCGTTGTCGTGGCTAATCAGGTGGGCTGCAGACAATCTTCCTCCGCAGTTCTAGATCTCGTTTTGACTGCAATCCTACCGGGTGTGGCGCTGTTCACCACACATCATGGCAAGTGTGCTGAGACAGAGCTACTCTTCAAACGGTCACCATGAGCCCATTGGAGGGAAGGCTCGGGGCCTGGAGTACCCAGATGTGTCCAGGCGGTCGGCAACCGGGCGGGCGCGGTAACGTTTCAACCCGCACGCGTATATCTCACTTTGATTGAACCATGAGCACAGCTCAGCCACGCTGTGTACAACTCGAGTCTGTCGTACGCTACGAGAACACAACCAGTTGCGGAATCTGCAAAATTGCAAAGGTCGGGCGTTCTGCCTGTAGGCTCGTTGCACACTTGTAGGTTGTAGTGAAATAGAGAGGCAAGGGGTAAACCGTAGCGCCACCACCCTAACCTTAATAACCCGCCCGAATTTACACCGATGCCGTATCCAATATCATGTTTGCTTTTTTGTATAGACCCGCGTGGGGTCCTCTGTCTTTGCATCGAAGGTTTTAGCCTATACAGTATAGAGTGCAGATGACAAAAACATTCAGGGGGGATGGGGTGCTGTTTTGGGCAACAAACATACACCGCTGTCCAAGCCATCGTTAGCAAGCATAGAAAACGCTACTCTCTACATATATATGTCGGGGTTGAGTGATAGGCCGTGTGTCGTGGAACCGCTAACAACAACGCGGTTCTGAGTTCTGAGTTCTGACGGAAAGGGCTGGGTTACCCGAGCACGCGTACCACCTCTTCTTTCTTCCACACCTCACCCGATACAACTTACCCACCAAGTTAGTTGTTTGCCAAACGATTACCGGCCAGTAGTTCGTAAACAATTAGCTGGGGACGATCCCGGAAGGTTTCGTGGCTACAGTAGACTGTTGTATACACTGCAGCGAAACCAAGCGGAAAAATACTTCAAAACACTTCAAAACACTTCTGTTTTGACTGCTGGTCCGTTGGCACCTGAATAAAGTGAATGACGAAGGTGTTTCCATCGAGTTCCATGCCACCGTCGGGCACAAAGTGCGCAAAGACGGCCGAGAGCTCGGGCTCTGTTAGTCTGATGTGGAACAAGCGTCGAAGCATGTCTCGGAGCTCCGGGGGAGTCAACCCCTCTCCAGCAAACCCCTTCTTCAGGATGCGGTCCTTGTCCGGATGGTATCGCACTGACGCCTCCACTAGCTTCGAAAGGCCTGATTGCAGCGGTGTTCTAGGTGGTTCTGCGGGAGAAGCCTTGCGCTTCTTAGGGGGAGAGCTAAGCCTGACGGCGTACTTGCCTTGTGCAACGTTCTTGCCTTTCTTGGTCTTGTTAGGTTTTGGAGGGTCTCGTTCATTGACTGTTTTTCCACTAGGGAAGACGATCTCGGCCGCATCGTCCTCGTCTGCTCCCTCTACAGTGGGCAACTCCGCCATGGCGCTAGGTTGTAAGTCTCGCCTAGTCTTTAATGCACATTCCCACAACAGGTGGTGGCCGATTGAGGCTTGAAGCTGTAAGCACGGCCTGCCTCCACGGGGAGTCGAATCTCGCCGCCTCGTTTTGCCCAAGAGGAACCTAAAACATCCCGCAGAACCCACTTGAAATCCGCCGCCGCCTCTCGCCGCATTTCCGTCCACAGCAAGCCCACAGGCCTGTGTCAAGACCTCGCATCACACACCCCTCCGTTGCACACGCCATGGCAGACGAAGCATCCACCACGCCGTTGCGTCCGGTACCTACGGCGCCGATGGCGTCGGGTATCCCTTCCAACGCGAATGAGGGGTGTGTGGGTCCGGCTGCCGAGGAAGCAGGCAAAGCCGCAGGCTGCGCTGGCTGCCCCAACAAGACGGCGTGCGCCTCCGGGAAAGGTCGAGAGGTCGACCCAGGTGAGAAGTCCAGTGGGAGGAACAGCAGCAGCGCTCGTGCTCAGCAACGCCAATGGGGTTGCCTGCGGTCGTGTACTCGGTACACACGGAGTTTGTTATATTTTGGGCAAAAAGTCCCCAGCTGTACACTACGACACACCGCTTGCTGCAAGTCTGCCAGGGCACGGATGCTGGGTCCCGCTAAGGCTGTGGTAGTGTTCAAAGGTAGGTTCGGGCGCTCCACGAAATGTCCCCTCGGCAAAAAGAGGTTTGAATGTTTGAATTACCTGCAAGGGGGCATGCGCTCGCAGAATAACGGGGAACTCTAGTCCTACCACGAGAACCGCCTTCCTGGCAGAACACCCACAAATATGGCGATTTTTTTGCAAGGCACGGAAGAACTTCCAACAATTATCTATGTTTTAGAGGGGTAGAGCCGGGTAGATGCCCATCTCCCACCGATCGCCCGTCGAGTTTGGAAGACATTTTGTAAGATGAAGGCAGATGATTGGGCGACAGGTACGACGCTCTCGGCAGAATCACCGGAATCCTCTTGCACAGCAGCACCATACCCATCACGTAGACAACATACGATACAACCAGCCCAGCAGAATACGGACTGCTGTAGGTCAAGGGCAGCCAGGGGCACACATCATGGGAGGCGTTGGGCATGCCTATTGCACCCCGTTGCCTGCTATCTGCAGCACAAGCGAGTGACGACGCAAATCAATCCGCGGTCCGTCTGCATCACCCTCCACCTACCGATCTATGGAGCTTCCCGCACAGACGCATCCCCACAACAGAGAAAACGAGACCTACACACTGCTGTAGGCCAAGGCCGGCCAAAGGTACAATCTCTGTCCATCTTCGGTCTGTTCGTCTGCCGGCCGATCATTGCTTTCACAACAGACGCACCAGAGAAACAGAGATAAGTTAGATATCACAGCGCTGTAAGCCAAGGGCGGCCAAAAACACACGTCGTGGAAGGGGGCGGGGGGGCGGTGTACTCATAGTCGTGCATGCCGTAGTCGTTAGACCATTGACCTCGCATCCCTACAAAGCCGGGACGGAGCACGCCGGGTTCTCACCGGACCAGGCTCTCACATCACCAAGCGCGAAGCGCCGTGAGATATTCGGCGAGTCGCATGAAGGGTGCGCTGCATCCTGCTAAGGGTGTTCGGCATCTTGTGCTTACTTCCTTGCGTACGGATGACAGCTGCGTATGAATTAATTTATTTTCTGGTGCTTTCACTTCCAGAGACAGTTGTAAGCACTGTGTAACTGCCTCGAGGGTGCTCGACCATTTTAACGCAACGTGATGCAATGATCCCCCTTGCGCGGAGTGAGGGTTCTCGACCCCGCACAACATGATCTACTCGACCACCATTATTGCTCCCGACGAAAAAATAACAGAGGAAAATAATCCACGGTATCCTGGTTGCCGAGTTCACGAAGTGAATTGGCTTGTTTTACAACGTCGTTGCCACGCGACGACGAAAACCCAATCCCGATGGCAAACACCGAGGGGGGGCTTGTTTTACAACGTCGTTGCCACGCGACGACGAAAACCCAATCCCGATGGCAAACACCGAGGGGGGGCTTGTTTTACAACGTCGTTGCCACGCGACGACGAAAACCCAATCCCGATGGCAAACACCGAGGGGGGGCTTGTTTTACAACGTCGTTGCCACGCGACGACGAAAACCCAATCCCGATGGCAAACACCGAGGGGGGGCTTGTTTTACAACGTCGTTGCCAAGCGACGAAAACCCAACGCCGATGGCAAACACCTAAGGGGGTCGTGGAAGGGGTCTGGGCCAACTTTTAGAGCCCGTTGCCCTCTGCCAGTAGCGAAAGCGAAGAAAGCAAGTGCGCACCCATGCACAGTAGCGGCACTGCTGCCGCTGAGCTGATCATGATGAGAGCTAAACAGCGCTCCCATTCATCCCCTGACTTACTGGTGGTATCGGGTGAAGTGTGAGCGTGCGCACTGGTGACCTACATGGTGGCGTAGGCCCCATCCATGCCTATTAATGCTTGGTTTGATGTCTCTCTCCGACCCTTCTTTTCGCGCTTCGCGCGAAAGATATTTATATATATTTGCTGGACCCTATGTATGGGAGGGGAACCGCCTTTCTCTTGGGCCACACAAGTTGCGCCGCGTCTGTCTGCCCTTCAGTAGAAAGCGCCACCAGGGGCAAGCACGGAAAAAGCACCTATTAATAGCCCACCGGTGAAAGGCGGCACCAAGCAAGCTAGGGCTTGGGTTAGATGGTCTCGCTTTCCCTCTAGCGGAATGTTGTGAAACCTCATTTTCGTGCCCCATTTACCACGCCCCCCCAAATTGTTGTCTTTCAGATATGAGACGGCTCAGGTGAGGAAGAAGTTTTTGCACTTGCACCCAGGAATGGAATGCCTGCATCATCCAATCAACAGGCTTACAATTCAGAAATTTCCCAACAACACCGTGTTTTCTGTAGGTTTGAACGGCCATATGGATGATTTGAGAACGAGCGAAGTACGTTGTATGCATTGCACAGCTGCAGCTGGAGGTGTTGATTATAACTACATGTAGTTCCAAGGATTGTTCACAATGGCCCGAGAAAGGCCGCAATGATATTCTTCATCTGAAAGGAAGCTAAGGGGAGAGTGTTCAACTGAAAACGTCCCAAGCCTTGTTGCAAGCTGCCGTAGCACCCCCAACGATTTCCCCCCTCCTCGGGTCAGGCGGTCGCGCTCCCCGCGGGTTGTTCACGAGGCCTTGGCGTTTCCTGCAATGATAATTGGCTGGGGTCCGTCGCGTTATGTACTGCCGCCTCACGGTCTTGAAGGTTTGATCCCAACTGAAGGGTACGCCTTTTGTAGAGGCTCAGTATATCGCCACAATCATTCACTACAATCGTATGTTTCCCCCCTGCCTACCTTCCAGCGGTGGCCGAGGTGGCGGAGAGGCTATCGGGCGTGAAGCACGTCGTCCTGGTCTTGTCTGGGAAGGGGGGGGTCGGAAAGAGCACCGTCTCATGCCAGCTGGCGTTTTCTCTGGCCGCTCAGGGAAAGCAGGTGATTTTGGTCACAAATGATACCGATTGCCTAGATTGCCACGAACCCTCCTCTTATTTCGCAAGATGTGCAACAGAGCCTCTGTGTTTGCTGGTTTCTGCCACCTTGCCACTTTGTTTCCGGGTACGCCTTCACGTCCCCGCTTGTCCCTGCTCTGCGGATCAAAATCAGCCTACATTTTGGGTTGCCGTCGATGTCCTTTCGGCGATACATCGACTGCGTTACTGGCAACCTTCTTGTGTTGAGACAACCTACAGGAAACGTTTCTGCCGAGCGTCCTTGAGAGCTTAACTATGTAGATCAAACGCGGTCGTAGCCTCTTTGCGCGAGTTTGTGGTGCCAACTTGTCGGAGCCTCTCCAGTGCGCGGTTGTCTCGCCTGAAGGTGTTTTGTTTCTGGCGCGGGCAGGCGGACTTCAAGAATATTGGAGTTTGCGCGCTTTGTACACGTACCTTTTTGTTTTGCAGACCTGACGGGAGCAAAACATGCATTTTGCAACCAAGAACACGACAAACCGTCTCTCAACACCTGCAAACTCTCTTCAACAGATCCTCCGTACAACCGAGTTTCCGTGCCGCAGGTGGGCTTGCTGGATATCGACATTTGCGGCCCCAGCGTACCCCGCATGCTTGGTCTCACGGGGAGGGAGGTCCACCAGAGCTCGTCTGGGTGGTCGCCGGTGTGGGTGACGGACGGGCTTGGGGTGATGTCGATCGGCTTCATGCTCCCACAGCAGGACAACGCGGTCATCTGGAGGGGGCCCAAGAAGAATGGGCTAATCAAGCAGTTCCTCACGGTGTGAACGATGAAGGGGTCGGAGCCCCGGCATGGATGTTCCATGCGCTGGTTTTGGGGAAATCGCGCCGTTTGGAACCCTGAAAGGAGGAAAACTTATTGACAACAATGATTGCATGTTTCATTCTTTTCTATATGGCTTTGCTTGTAAAGGTCACGTCGTACTGTAGGATGAAAAAGTCCAAGCGCTTGTATGGTCTACGCACTATCATACTGGGGAGGGACGGAAATCTAACTTGCATTACCCAGGCGCCTCTTCCAACAAGAACTGGGAACTCTTCACGCCACAAGCTGGATCTACATCCCTTTCGTAAGAACTTCTGGGAAGCTTGAAGCACTTCGGCAGTACTTCCTGGAATTGTGTAAGTCGCCTCATCTCATCGGTTGCCCTTTTATTCACTCAGGACGTTGATTGGGGGCAGCTGGACTATCTGGTAATCGACACTCCGCCGGGCACAAGCGACGAGCACATGTCGGTCGTGAAGTACTTGGGAGGCTGCAACGTGGACGGGGCTGTGGTGGTAACGACACCTCAGGTGCGGCACAAAGTATTGCCGTGTGGTGTCTGTAGTTTGGGCTATGGCTCATTATTCTGCTGATATTTCGCCTGAAACTCCGCCTCGAAGCGCAGATCGATGAATTGTTGTTCCGTCTTCTTTTGGCGGTGTTTTTCTGCTTGTTCTCTGTTCGTATTACTATCCGACGGGATTCATTGG